TTATCTTAAACTAGTTTTGGCCATTTTGAAACTGGTTTATGTGCACTGAGCTTCTATTCTGTTACAGGGTTAAACCAGTTTCTGATCACTTAAACTGGCTTATGTGTAACTTCTATCCCTAGCCTTATAGACTTGAGGCACCCCTTGATAGTCTTGCGGCAACCCTGGATTGATGCAAGACACCTCTTGGAAAATGCCTTTTTAAATTTTCACTCATTTTTTTTATTATAGAAGAATAATAGATCAATCCTTCTGTTGTAAAGAACTCAGGAAGATCACAACAGGACAGAATATTTATAACGGTATGGTTTCAAATTTGACATCTCTGCATTTATCATGTGAATCATGTTTTACCCCTAACAATTCTCACATTGTGTGGCACCCTCATGGCACCCTGGAAGGGGTCTCATGGCAACCAAGGGTTCTATGGCATTCTGGCTGAGAATCACTGATCTAAATACTCCTTTTTGCAGCTCAGATTGTACAAAGCCTTATTGGCGTGAGAAGTAATTTTGATCATACTGACTAAGGATTTTGTGTTTACTCTCTAATGCTGATATCTAATCTTTTTTGCATATGTTTTCTTCCAATTTATTGTTGCTTGTTTCATTCCTTTTTTAGGATTTTGAATCCTTCTTCTCTGCCAAAGAAGAAAATATTATTTATTCATTCCTGGGTCTTGCTCCCCCTCCAGGCACAAAGGTATGAACTTGTGTCCGTTGCTAGGGCACATGTGTTTGATTTATTTTTATTTAGCAAAAGATTAAGGAAGGAATTGACTCAGCCTATAAAATAATGAACAGTTGCAAGTGCTGCTATAAGATATCAGTTGACACAGGGTTGCAGGAAAGAATTTTTAAAGAAAAAAGAGGCAGGCTTTGCTATTGAAAATATTCTAATTTCTCTTCTTTTACCATGGATTTGTTAAAATGTATCCTTCACTACTTTAAATAAAGAATAGTAAACCTTTTTGCCATGGTCAGCTTTGAGACAATACACATTCACCTAATGAAATCCACAGGTTACATTAAGTGATGGGGAGTCGCTTCTCCCTCATTATGCTAAGCTTTGGGTAATACTTTGCATGAGAACGCTGTTGTGACAGTATAAAATCTAGAAAAGGTCACATGAGAAAAGACCTCCATAAGGCCTTTTGGAAAGTATAAATAAATTGCATCTCTACCTGTCCTTCTCCATCTGCTATATATTGTTGATGCACTCACGTTTCAAGCAAGAGGCATGTTTTTTTCCTTTACAGAAGTTGTGTTGCTTTGTCCCATGTTCATCTAAGGGTTTTAGGACTCTGTCTTTAGGTCAGATTTAATCATAATCAAATTTTGCTGCCTTTATCATGACTGAGAAGTGTCATGCCTCAAGAGAGTGTGTGAGTCAGAGTGGCAGTGCTAAGCTCTTGCAATTTTTGGCTGTGGTTAGTGGCTAAAATACAGGACAGGAACTTGAGACCTGGGTTCTAATTTGTGCTGGCCTTCTTAGGTGACTCTGGGTAAAGCACTTGTTTGAGCACCTTTCCCACTATCTAGAAAAATGGGGAACATGATATTTATTGCTTTTGTATTGTGGTTTGAGATTTACAGATGAAAAGTGGTACCTAAGAAAAACATTATTAATAATTACTGTATCTGTGACTGGTCAATCTCTGGCCTGAAGCAAGTGCTTTACATTTTTTTCTCCAGCTTTCCCACCTGTACAATAGGGATAGTAATAATTGCTTGCCTGCCACTCAAGATTCATTTGAAAATTAATTTGGGTAATGTTTGCAAAGCCGTTAAGGGATTACAGGAGTTACATGTGCTACTTATTATAAGGGGGATAATCAATAGGATTTTAAAAATTGCATTTTTTTCTGTCCTCTCACTTCATGTATCATCTGCTCTTTCATGCATTGCTCTGCTAGTTTGTTTGTCTGGATCCAAGTAATATTTTAAAGCATTTATTCAGTCCTATGCTACAGCAGAAGCAATTGCAATTTTGAGTCCAGGACAACTTTATTAAAAACAATATGCTTTATATATTTTGCCAGATTAATAACTTTTGGTACTATTTGTAGCAAGCAAGAACAGTTCTCACTGATTAAACTACTTTTTCAAGGAGATTACATTTCAGATCAGAAAGCTGGAAAAGTCAGAGGTAAAATTATTTTGGTGTATTATACATCAGCCTAGGTGATACACAGTTATCCAACTCTGTGTATCACCTAGACTGATGTATAGTACACCAATATAATTTTACCTCTGACTTAGACATAATGGCTTGGACATAGTTACACCTGTTTAAAGCTGTTTACATGAGTGTAGACATTTTGTTTGTCCATACCCCTAGATGATTTTTGAAAACATGTGAATATTGGAACTATCTTCACATCTCATTCTTTAGAAAATCTTTTTCTGATGTTGAGAGAAACCAGGACATAGAGGTATTCTTAGCCTTTATGGCAGAGGCATTTCCAGCCTCTTCACTAGCTATAGTTTGCCATACAAGTGACCTCCTTGTGCTGCTCCAGCTTCTCTCTAAATTCATGCCACCAGCTAGTGTTATGATACGCCCATTTCACAGTAAGTGTGAATCAACCATCAGGTGAAAGTAATGTGTCACATCTGGCAGATATGCTAGCCGTTTAATAACAGGATCTCCCAGTGCCAGTGACTGACTAATCCTTTTAAACCGTTACTAATACACAATGTTTGTTTATTTTAACTATGACGCGGAAACTTCATAAAGACTGTAAGTCTGTTGTTGTTCATCTCCCTTACAATGAATTTCCCTTTTTTCATTCCTTGGAGTCTCAGAACAGCAGAGACTTGCTATGCCTGAAGAAGGGTGACTGTGCCTGAAAGCTCGCCAAGAACTTTTTCCCAACAACTTGGTCTAATAAAAGATATCACATTTACCTGAAGAACCTTACCTGCCTCTCCCTTACAATACATTTTAATCTCACTACTAAGGCTTTATTATGATTAGTATGAACCTCATGTGCCATGCTCACTGCTCCTTATACTGACCAGCATTGCCTGAGGTGTTCTGGCTGGCTGTTGTATCCCTCTCTTGTTTTCATTATACAGTTAAATTGCCAGCTGTTTGGTGCAGGAATAGCTTTGTTTTGTGTTTGTATGGTGTTTCACCCAGCAGGATCCCAGCTCATTTTTCGGGTTCCTATAGATGATAATTGTAACACAAATAATTAATTGATGATTGTTTTTAAATTGCTGCTAAATTCCAATTAAAAAACCACTTAAGCATATTTGCCATTTTAGTACTTTGACTGAATTCAATGGAAACACTGATGCTTAACATTAAGCATCTGAGCAGGTCTTTGTAAAATTGGAACAAACACTTGTTTGGTTTTTTTAAATAAAAGCTAAGTATATAATTACTCTTTTCAGAGGGTTTTATGGCCACATGGCAGCATTGTACAGAAATCAGAAAATACGTTGATTATCTCAGGAATATTCAGCCTGTTTATATATTTCTGGTTCCCTGTCTCCCATACCTCATGGTTATATTTCCCACAGTATCATTTAACAGGGATGAGTAATACAATTTTATACTCCTCTGGAGAGAAGGCAAATGGTTGTTATTCTCTTTATTCTGTTACTGTGCAATGCCTCCTCACTTACGTGGGTTAAAAGAAGATCTTAAACTAGTTCTATTGTAATCCTAACTTTCAACCAACCAACAAAACAAATAAATGAACAAAAAACCCCCACTTGATTTCAGGCCTGAATGTAGTGGATGGCTATGCTTTAGGTATGATGCCAAGATCATTCAAGTCAATAACCAATTTTCCTTTGATTTCAGTGGACTTTGGCTCAGGCCTCTTGTATAAAGTCAGTAGCTTAGATTTATGCATCTGAACTGTGAACAATACATTTAGTAAATCTGGTGATTTGGGTTCATATACTTCAGTTTATGACCCTGACTCTAACCTTTTCAGACTCAAGGCACTTCATTAGACTCAAGGATCACCTTGAAAAATGCCAGCTCTTAGTTTTCACTCATTTTTTGATTACAGAAAAATAACAGAGCAATTCTTCTGCTGCTAAGAACTCAGAAAGCCCACAGTAGGTCTTAATGATTTTAACACTATGGATTCCTATTTGAAATCCCTGGGTTTATTTTGTGCATCATGTTTGCATGCTTAACAGTGCTAACATTGTGTAGCACAGTGTGGCACCCTTGAAAGGATCTCAAGGTATCCAGGATGCTGCTGAGAATCACTGGTCTCTGGTGTTAGCAAGGCAGAGAGATAAGACAGGGCAGATGCCTTCCTAATTCCTAAGCATTTTTCCCCAGTATGAGGCTGTTCCCAGCCATCTTTTTTCAGTGTCTGTTAATGCACAGAAATACACTACATGAACATTACCATTTCACAACAAACAATGTTTTGCTGAGGAATTTCTTTAGAAATTACTAGTTGAGATAATGTAAAGAAAAAGAAACCAGCAATCAAAAACATAGTCTCTATACCTAATGGGTATATTAACCTGTCCTGAGTAAAAATTACTTGAGGGCTTCTGGCATATGCTGTGAACCTAGCTTATTCATTCATCCATGACACATTTTTATTTTTACTGAACCACAACAATCATTACTTTAATAAATGCAACCTGTTCTCCAAAGTGGGAAAGAGAATATGGATGAGAGTCCTTATTTTGAGACAAATTAGAAACAATGTCTCTACATTCATAAGTGCAGAGAAATGGATTCTTCGCCCTTTTTCTAGACTGTAACAGGAGAAGCATTCTTTCAGTGAGATGTCTGTTATTTAAGAGAGCAAGCAATGTACTTGAACATCCTGGCTTCTAAGTAGCAAGCAAGGTTTGAACACCAACAGTGAGTTATTTCTTTGTTGTAGAGAGTGAATGCATTTTTTCACTGTCAGTGTTTATTTAGCTTCATTCCCATTGAAATCCAGAAAGAAGACCACTCCACGTTAGACAGGTTCTTTCTGTCATTGCTCGTCTAATTCAGTAGAGCTGATTTACACCAGATATGAAACTGGTGTAGGGCTGTTACTCAGTCCTAAATCCTTGATTTTGCTGCCTGTTGATTTTGGGTTTTTGTCGCATGTGTACTTTTGCAAATGGAGAATTCTCCTATTAAGGTACCTCTGAATAGAAGATTGAAAAAGAGAGAATGTGTGCTCTTAAACTAGCTTTATAACTTACTGATAACTGCTTTTTACAGAAAAGAAATTATAGAACCATAGAAAAGTAGAGCTGGGAGAGACCTGAGGAAGTTATCTTGTCCAAACTCCTGTTCAAGTCAGGGGCATCCCTGATTAAACCCTCCCAATCAAGTATTTGTCTTTCCTGCTCTTAAAGACGTCCAAGGATGGATATTCCACAGCTTCTCTCACTAGCCTATTCCAATGTTTAACTACCCTCATAATGAGGAAGTTCTTCCTACTCTCCAACCTTACTCATAGAGAGAATGTTCTTCTAACTTAATTTTCTCTTGCTTCACGTTGAGACCATTGCTCCTAATTATGCCCTATGCAGCCACAGGGAATAGTGTAACTCCATTTTCATAAAATATATTAATACATTAATCAGTTTTCATAAATGGTATCAACATTCAATTAAATTTTAAAATAACCTACATTGTTTTGTGTTGCTCTGTAATGGTAACGATGACAAGTCATTACTAGGTTTTTGAATTGTCAGTTGTCAGTAGCTTCAATGGAAATGTTGTGCCTGGTAAAATATTGTGTCCCGAGTCCTTTGAACTTCTATTTTAGCCAGGGATAGTTTTGAATGGGTATTTGTGAGAGCTACAGATGATTGAGATCTTTAAAAGTAATATAAAGATACAAACTAAAAAAGTTAACAAAAAAAGCCTTTTTAAGACTGACTAAAAATAAAGCATCTGTAAGGAGAATTGGCCAGTCACATAGGGTATCTTTACATGTGTTCTGGGGTGCAGGGCCCCCCTTAATTAAAGTGGCCCTTGGGAGGCATGTTAATTAGCATGTGTTGGAGCAGGCATCAGGCACGTATATGGTTGCTCATAAGCATAATAGCTTTCTGGGTGCAGTCCATGGTGCTACTTTTGACTTATAAGGCCCTAAAAAGTCTGGGTCCTACACACCTAAGGGACTACCTTCTCCTTTATGCCCCATCATGATCCCTTATGTCAGCTGAAAGCCAACTCCTGCAAGTACCATAAATATGCCAAGTTGCTTGGTGAAAATTTGTGGGAGGTCATTCTCAGCAGTCACTGATCTGCTCTGGACCTCCCTCCTATCCTGAGGCCCACTAGAGCCCAAAACTGGACATAACCCAGAAATGCTGTCTGGGCCAGTTTGGAGCAAATGAGGTTAGGTTAAATAATTGCTCATGTGCTTTCTGTTTTATTTTCATACTGTGTTTGCTTTTATAATTTATTCTTGTCTGTTGTTTTATAACTTGCTGTGTTTGTTCTCTTACTGTAAGCTGCCCTGAGACTTTGCTGGGAATATAAATCTAATAAATAAAGTAGATTGAATAAATACAATAATAAAATAATGATAAATGCACAGCATTGCAGTATCGGTTAAGATAACTTCAAGATCTTTTATTTTTCTTTTAAAGTAAGAGCATCATTTTTATCCTGCAATTGCTTTGCTGGTTTGCACAGCCAAAAGCTAAAAGTGTAAAGGGCAAAATAATTCAAGAAATAACTCTTGAACTGTCCTTTTTAATTACAGTGCAAAGATGTACCAGATCACTTGGCCTAACATGTGATGCTAGTAGGCAGCTTGAAACTTGTTTTAACCCTACATGCTCCATTTATATATCCCAGTCATATACATGCATTAAGGTTTTTGTATATTGTACATAATGTTCATTTTCTTCTGTTCAGGAGGCGAAAATTGATGAGGAGATTTCAGATCTTCCCAATGGAGAAGTTTCAGGAGAGGAGCAGAAAACCGTGGAAGTAATGCCAAGTGATTTGTTCATTTTTCCTCTTCAGAATTTACTTCAAACCATTCCTATTATCCAGTATATCCTATTCCACCCCACCGGCCCAGTCCCTGTCAGGCAAAGCATTTAAGCACATGCATAACTTTAAGTATCAGAGAAGTCCTATTGAATTTTGCCTCAGAACAAAAATGGAGATGAAGTTATTTGAAAAGCAAATTGAACAAGCAGAGAAATCTGAAGAGCATCAGAAAAAAGGCCCTATTTGTCCTGGAGAGAATGCACTGCTCTACTCATTGTTTGTAGGACATAAGACTAGAAAGGATGTGTGGGGCCCAGTCTAGCCCCCTGCTATTATGGGAAACCATATAATATAATCTGCTTAATAAATTGGGAAGCTGTGTTTTAAAGCTAATTAGGTTTCTTGCCATCATTTCTTCTGTTAGAAAGCTGTTCCAGTATCTCACTGCTTTGATGTTTTGAAGTCTGATTTCTAGCTTAAATGTAATTATGGTCAGTTTATAAATTGTGCTCAACCTTCCAACCCCACAGGCCAGATGAGTGGCACAGGCCAGTGTGTAGGCTGGGTCAAGCATGGGGTCTGTGCGTGGGGCTGGTCCACAGGTGCAATCTGGCATGCTGACCCAGCCCCATGCACTGAATCCAAGCCACAGCCTGACCCTATACGCTGACCTGGCTGCACATGCCAGTTCATGGCAATTAATGTCCCTACCTGCTGCCAAATTTCTGGAGTTGTAGGACGCCCCACAGGCTGAATAACAGGGCCCCTTGGGCTGGATTTGGCCTATGGGCCAGAGGTTGAACACCACTAGTTTATACCAGCTTGTTCTTGTTCTAACAACTTTAGTTTAAATAGTTCTCCTCTGTCCTTGGTGTTAACCCCCATCTCCTGTTACCTGTTAATAAGGAGCTATCACATCTCCTCTCAGCCAACATTTTGCTAGGCTAAGCAATTCAGGATCTTGTATGGTAGGTTCTCCATTTCCCAGATCATTCTAGGACTCCTTTGTTCCAGTTTGAGTTCCTCTTTCTTGAGAATTGTATATAAAATCCCAGAAGAGGTCTTACCAATGCCTTGTATGATGCCATTAATATTTCCCCATGTGTACATGAGGCATGCTACGTTCACATTTGCCCTTTTTTGCAGCTGCATCACATCAGTTGCTCATGGTTATCCTGTGATTAACTAATACATTCAGGTCTTTCTCCTCCCTTATCATTTCTAACTGATGAACACCCATCTTATAGTAGAAATTCCTGTAATTAAACCTTCATTGCATGACCTTATACTTTGTACTATGAAATTTAATCCCATTTCTATTATTCCAGTCAAGGTCTTATAGTTCTTGCATATGCATAATACTGTGCATGGTCAAATATGATCTTGTACTGTTGGTAGGATCATAGGAAAATAGGTATAGAAGGGCCTGCACAAGGTAATCTTGCTCAGCCCCTGATTAAGGCAGGGATCATCCCTGGCTAGACCATCTCAGCCAAGTGTCTGTCAAACCAGTTTGTTGGTAACCTTCTTGGTTAGGTTCTGTCTGTTGGACAGTTACTGTTAACCAATTTAAACTCCCATCACAAATTAAACCAGTACTAGTTGTGTTCTCAGTTACTTAGAAATAAATAGGTCAGATAGTCCAACATACGAATAAAGTAAGAAACTGCATGCTGATTATTTGATGATTTGAAACAGTGGCTTTATGAGAGAGCATATAAACAGTAAGTTTGTCCAGCAATTGTCTCTTCTTTTGTGTTTCCTAAAAGGTTTAATTAGAATGTGAATTTGGTGAAGCAAAAATATTTTGTGGAGATGTATCAGTCTGACATGGACACTGCTTGTGGCAGTCTCTTGATCCTGGGTTTTCCTGATCACAAGGCAATGCCTCAAGCATTAGGCTTGACCTTCTGTTTTTATGAAAAGATTTGAAATATTTGTTTTGTCAGTTTAGTGTGGAATGAAAACAGATTTTGAAACTTCAAATTGGCATCTCCACTCAGATCTATTCCTAATGTTAACAATGCAGTGTTTCTTTTTTGTCAGGAAGCTGAAAAATTGGAGGTAACTGAAGAAAATGAGGAACCTACAGAAGACAATGCAGATGCAGAGGTTCATGATACTGAAGCACCATTGGAAAAACAGGAGGTACATTTCTCCTTTCTTTTCCTCTCTGTGACTTTAGAGCTAAGCTGAGCTCATGCAGTCCAAACATATGTATCGTTTAACCCTTCTCACTGTGTGGCTCTCTGTACATTGGGAAGAATTGATCCCCAAGTAAACCTGTCTCACTATTCATTGTCTTCATATTCATAATCACACATTTGAAATAAATATACAAGAAGAGAAGGTTTGTTTTGAGCCTTGAATAGCAATACTTGTCTTTCGTTCACAGCTTTTACTTGCCTATGTTAAAGTGACAACTCATTGCCATTGCAATTTTACAAGCATTTGCAGGGTTTGTAAAATAATTTGTTGTTCGCACATTGTACAAACTATGCCTGTACCACTGTGAGCACATTTCCTTGCAGAAAGTCTTAACAATGTTTTCACCAGTTTGCTACATGATAGGAGTTGCCCCAATCCTTTCAGGAGGAAAAACAGAAAAAAAAAAGAATGTCCTCAATGATTACACTAAAATTGCAGACATATATTTGATGTATCTTTTCACCTCCCAGAACAAATCTTATCTTTAACCTTAGTGACATTCCACTGGCCACTGCTTCTCTCTTGACCTACCAGTGTATAAGCTCTGGGGACCTTTGCCACAACCATGGAAAGGAGGAACTAGTTGTTCTGATCTTTCCTGTCTTTGGAAAGATCAGTATCTTCTAGTCCTGGTCCAGGCAATTCCAATCTCAATCACAAGGCAAAAACCTGAGGGAAAAATTATTGGTAGAAAACAGAACAGGGAGCAGATTAGCACATTAGTAGCACTGTGGTATGCAACAATAGATGTGACTCATGCACCACCTGTCAGCTATGTGTATAGGTGCTGGCAGGGGGCAGATACCAGGGTCTGAGGCACAGATATAAACTGCAGAATGCTACCATTGTTCTTTCTGCCTCTGTCACAATGCTTATGTATGTGAACACACACAAGCAGAAGTGAGAACCAGTAGTGTAAACAATTCTGGAAGAAGCCATTGGACTACTACAATTTATATAACAGCAAAGCATTATTTACATCCTGCTCTAGCAGGGGTGTGAAGCATACACCCTGTGGATTGGATCCATCCTGTAAAGCTGGGTCATTGATAGAGGGGGGAAGGGAAAGGGGGGGAGATAGTATCCTGTGGCTGTAGCCAAGCGCCCTGGCGAGAGCCCCATTGTGCCCAGTGCTGCAGCTTGTTTCAATGGGGCAGCTAAGTGCCCAGAATGCCAGACCTCTTCTCGCTGGGTCCCAGACCAGAAAGTAGGGGGAGAGGGGGTCTGAAGGCCTAATCAGGCTCACAAGGCCTGTCCCATACCATTCATCTGGCCTGTGGATCAATCCTGAAGCACTCATCTGACTTGCAGGGACAGATAGTTTTGAGACCTTTGTACTATAGGTTACTGACTTCAGAGCAGTACTCTGTGGATGGAAACATGCTGTCTATCCTACTACCTTTCAGTGGTCATCAGACATAGCTACACTGAGGGGGAGTGCTTGCAGACCCATAATGATAAACATGGTGCATATTATGGTCACATGTATAGGGAAGAAAATAATTTCTTCCTTCTTGGTTAGGTTTTTAAGTTACTGCCCTGTTTTCCAGCTGTCCTTGGGGCGTATGCACAGACTGACCTGAAGACAAAACACCGACACTTTGCATACTTTTGCCCCTACTGTTTTCCATGACGATAGTTTTTTGGGTTTTGGATTGCCTTTTCATTGTAGGTTTAGCCATTAATTCTGTCTTGGGCCTGCTGTGGAATCAAACACAAAGTTGCAGGAACATCCAGCTGAACTAAGCCTTAGATATTTCACATCTTTCACTAGCAACATACTCTAAAGGCCAAGACAGAAGGGTTTTTTTCCCCCTTATCTGGTTGCAAGATTTTCTCATTGGATATACACTGAAAGCTGCCTCCCATTCTCATCCTTAATGTATTCTACATCTTCAAGAGTGAGATGAATCCCCATGCAAAAACTCCTCACAAGGCTTAGGCAGGCCAGGCAAGGTTCTTTGTGTAGATGTGATATCTTTTATTAGACCAACTACATAGTTGGAAAAGAGTTCTTTGCAAGCTTTCAGGCACAAAGACCCTTCTTCAGGCATTGGGATATCCCAATATCACATCTATCCAAAGAACCTTGCATGCTTATGTCCTAAGACCAACACGGCTACAACCAAGAACCCCATCACAATGCTTAGACACCTATTAATGTTCTATTTAAACCCTCAAAATAGGGCCTTTGTAGCACATAGGTGATGTATAGCCCTTGTGCCAATCCCCAGCAGAGACTGAGTTTCATCCTGAAATTGTGGTCTGTTTTCTCTTTTTAAATTTGGCCAGCATGTGAAGGCCATGTAATAGTTCTTTCCTCAAGCCTTAGGGGAAACCCTGATTAAGGCTGCCATCAGTCCCTGGGCTGGATTGAATTACATGCCCTTCTGGCTGGCATTCTATTCCAGTGTTTTTCAAATGAGGCCAGAGTGCTGGAACAAGTTGTTGAAGTCTTAAAATGTATTGGGCAGCTGTGTGTGAGAGCCTTTGTAATGACATAATGCAGTGTCATTCTGGTATAACAGACACCTTGCTGGTTTTCATTTCTTACAAAATAGGTTTGAGTCTTAGATGGACATCAGGGGAGGGAGAGTAATATGCTTAAAGTGAGCTTCCAGTGGCTACAGTGGTAAAAAACTGATTTGTTTAAATATTTTTTCCAGACATTATGTTTCACCTTCTAGGCTCCAGCAACATTTAATTGTTCTTTAAAGGGATACAAAATAAATGAAAAAGTTTCCTAAAACCTCTTTATTGTAGTATGAAAGTTCATCGGTGAACTTATATTAGCTCTTAGATAACACATTTTCTCTTTCTCGTACTTTTTTGTGGAAGCTAGAATAACAAACTGAAGAGAAGAAGGATGATGTCTTGGTTAGGGTGCGGTGCTAGGAAGCTCAGGAGACCAGTTCAATTCCCTGTTCTACGATAACCTTCCTGAAGGGCCTTGGGCAAGTCATTTAGGATTTGTGATGACAGATCCCAGTGAGGGCAAGACTAAGGATGTCCATTCTTGTCCCCAGACATGCTCCAGATCTGGAAATGTACCCATGAAACTGCTCCTGGCTTGCCCCTCTGTGCCTGCTCTGTAGTCCTCAGTCTTTGGTAGGTCTGCAAGGGGTCACCGGGGACAAACCTTAAAATGACCATCACACTGTTGTGAGTTTGGAGCCCATCAGCAAAGTGCAAGTGGGCAAGGCAATTATTTTGGGCAGAGGGCTTCTTACTGAGTTTTAACAAGCCATTGAGGGCCGCATGAGAGGCAGCCAGGGGCAGATAAATATTAATTTTCTAAAATTTTTAGGGGCCTTGCAGGCCGGATAGAATGGCCTGGCGGGCCGCCTCCAGCCCCCGGGCCACATTTTGCCCACCCCTTTTCTATCCCATATTATCTACTGCTGCCACAGTGTAGGCAAGTCCCTGTTAGTCTCTCTAACTCATTTTACTCATTTCCTTTTCTATACATTGGAGATATAATAGCCCTTCTATGCCTTGCCAGGGTGAAGTGAGGTTCAAAATATTAAAGACTAGAGGTGCCTAGGGAGGGCCACCTATATACAATAGACAGAATTTAGGGTGAATGTATATTATCAAAGTATCTAGTAGCATTGCACTGCTTTCAATATTGTTCTTTATCCCATTTACAGCCTAACACATTTTATTTGCTTATTTTACTGCATCTGGACTTTGAGCAAATGCTTTCACTGACCTGCCCACCCCTAAGTTGTTTTTTTTCCTTTTAGTTAATTTAAAACCTGCCAATGAGTATCATGTTCTGAAAGGGTGACCTTTTTATGAGTTCCCCCTGTAACTTGCAACCATGAAGTTGCATCTTCTGAACTGTAGTTAGGTCCCATTGGAGTTTCAGTTTACCATGTTGATCAATTTCTGTATTTTCAGACCAAAATAATACCATTCTGGGGTTGGTCAATTTGCATTTCATTCCTAAACTAAGACACAGTGATGAACTTCATACTGACACCTTGAACCCATTCACTTCTTTGTTTCAAACTGTATTAAAAATTAAAACCAACAAATATTATAATCCAGCCCATTTAATTTCTCTGCTGAATACATTAGAGGCTACAAGTCATGTGGAAACATTCCAGAATGGTCTTGGCTAGGTAAAGATCTCTTGATCTCTGCCAAGAGGCATATGATAGATGATTGAATAAGCTGTCACACTGTACCAATTATGTAGTTTTATGGAAGGACCCAGATTCTGGAAGACTCTTCTATAGCAACTACTTCCCCAGGAGGATCAGGAGCCAGAAGCCTATAGGGATAACTTCAGAACCTAGACCTCCCCTTCTGTTCATGGGTGGACACGCTACTGACACTCCGATCCTTCATTCCTCCCATGAGTAACAAGGACAACTGAGGATGCACAAGAGGCATAGCAGCAGACCCAAGCTTCTGGACAAAAAACACTTCACAATCTCAGCATCTGCCTCAGGCACTAGCAGGGTGTGACAGCCTTCCTGTACATGCTCCCTGCTGGTTCTGCTAAATGTCATTCTGGGCCATTGAGCCTGAACAATTCCAGCCCCTCAGGGTGGCCACAAACAGCAGTAGAAGGGAAACTTCTCATGTTGTGGAAATTCCCCATACTGCTGCAGCAGCAGGTAGAAGGAGAGGCCTTCATAGGCTTGGCTTCCTACTGACATGAAAGAAAGCTCTGCTTTTTGTGTTCTTTATTTATGAATCCAACTATATCTTGTCCGTTGCCTTCTTCTCAAGTCTTCTGTCTTTCTTTTCTCCCTTCACTTCATCAATGTCATCCTTCCTGTTCCCTTTTTTAAACTCACTTATTTTGACCCCACCTTCCATCATCGTTTTCATAGATTTCATAGACGTTAGGGATGGAAAGGACCTTGTGAGATCATTGGGTTCAGCCCCCTGCCAAAGGGCAGGAAGTCAGCTGAGGTCAGATAACCCCAGCAAGATAAGCATCTAAACGCTTCTTGAACGTGTCCAGAGTAGGTGCTTGCACCACTTCTGGGGGTGTCTATTCCAGACTCTGGAGACTCAGCTGGTAAAGAAGTTTTTTCTTATGTCCAGTCTAAAATGGTCTTCCAGCAGTTTGTGACTATTTGACCTTGTCTTCCCTTGGAGTGCCCTGGTGAACAGAGATTCTCCCAGTTCCTGATGCATACCCGTTATGGACTTATAGGCTGCCACCAAGGGAATAAACCATCCCCAGGGAATAAACAGTGCTGACTATCAGCCTGACCATTTCACTTGAATGTGATATCTATTTTCCCCTATCTTTTGTCTGTTTGTTAGCTGGCACTGTAAAAACTTCAGAGAACACATTCTGACTTTCTATGTTTATTTAGCACTGAGCACCGTGGGGCTCTGACCCTGATTCAGATCCCTTGGGGTAGATTTCTGTTCCCTTTTCTGTACCTAGCTGGTCATTTTCTATCAGTCTGTCTGGCTGCTTTTGGCCCTGGCTTTGCTCTGTGGATGAGTAAGGGTGTACTCTACACACTGGGTGGGTATGTGCAGTGCACATATACCTGAGTGCAAGTCCTGGAAAAATGAGAGAGGAGGTGCACACTCCCATGTTTTAGTCCCAATAGCTGAGTGATTAGGGAACCCACCCAGGAAGCTAGGAATTCAGGTCCTAGGCTCCCTCTTTTACCCCAAGGGGCTTTGAGCCTGCATCTCTCTCTGGTTTGACAGTACAGTGCTTTGATCCTTACATACAGGTCCAGTATTATCCAGACTGATTTTCAGTGCACTTGAGACTCAGCCAGCATGGCACTGGATCAAATAGTCAGAGAGCAGTAGTGCAGAAGTTTCTGCCCTGCTGGGTGCAAGAGTCCAGTGTCAGCTCAGCTCCCTTCTAGGTAGCAGCAGCCATCTCACTGAAGCACACAACCTCTTGTTTGCTCTGCTCCTCAAATCCCCACATATCTTTTGTTCTCTTGGCTGCCCAGAGAGCCAGGTTCAGAAGGAATGATGAAGAGAGGTCTGGGTAATGCCTGATCTGTGGTGTGGTGCATAGAGTACAGTGTTAGGAACTCAGCAATGCAGGTTCAAACCTGCTTTGGCAAGAGGGACCTAGAATCTGGCTTTCCTGCTTCCTGGGCATGTGCTGTAAACACTCAGGTATTGGACCTAAAACACAGGCTCCTTCTAGTTCTGAGTGGCTATATTTTTATGACTTTGGCACATGTCCACAATGGACATGTGAACATGGTTGAGTACCTGCCTGGCCAGTGTGTAGCATACTGCGCATGCTCAGTCTACACATGCATGTTTACATATCCATAGTGTAGGGAAAGCAGAATCGCAATCTGTGCATTAGTGCTAAAAATAATTCCATTTAGATTTACAAAGGGAAACAGAATTCTGCCTAGATGCTACTGTGTTGTGTTTTCATAATTTGCCTGGTTCAATTTTAATTTTAGACTTCAGTCTTACATTCAGACCAGTTTCTAATCCAGGTTGGGTAGGCTATGTAGTCAGGGCCAAGCTAATTTAGAACTATGTTAAAAAATATAGTTTTAATCTTGGTTCCTGCCTTCCTCACTATATACAGACTCCTTCACTGGGGTTTCTTTCCCCAAATAAGACACTTTACATGTGCTCATAGCTGTTGATTGGATCATCTGCACACTACCTTTCCAATAGTCCTCTTCCCTCCTATCTTCCTCCTTCTTGTTCATAATAACCCTTTCCTCCAATAAACACTTTACTATTTTACAGCAAATTATATTTAAAGTTTTTAATCTCTCTTGCCCTTCTTTTATCACTTATCCTTACTTTACCATCTAATTTGCATTACTTTTTTATTCTCTTAAACTGCAGAACCAACATGTGGGAAAGTGAACCTAAAAACCATCAGCAACATTTCAAATGCAGATTTTTTTTCCCTCTTGGTGATGGACAAATAGTCTTACCATGACTGATACCACTTTGATTTTGTAATGCAGGCAATTGGGTAATATATATCTATATCTATATCTATATCTATATCTATAGATATATATCTATCTTGATATATATCAACCCCCAATGTTTGCTTGTAAACTTAATAGATTTAACTGGAAGTCATTGAAAGTTAAAAGATATAGGACCCTATAATTATAATGTTGTAGTCATTTTTTGAAAGAAGAATCATAGTTTATATGTGTTTTATGAGAAATCTCTAAGGAAACAGTACTTCAAAATATATCTCAGTATTCTACATAATAGCTTTAAATCTCACCTGTATTTTACCTGTATGACCTCTGATATTCTTTCTTTGAAGTACCATTTTAAATCTCTCTTTATTTCCTTTTATGTAGGAAGAAAAGGAGGGACATACAGTGACAGAGGTACAGTAAAGTATTTGGACACTGTCTTCACCTGTTATGCATATGCAATTCTCATACTTTTTCCTCTAGTTCCTAAAGCAGAAGCTAGCAAATTCCAGTTAATCTCTTTAACATTTCCCAATTATAAACTTAATAAACTGGTTAGGGACTACCATATGTTGTTTCATAGAACACATCCTATTTTTTTGCCAAAAAACAGCTGCTGGAAATTGGGGTGCGCAAGTGAGGAAACATGGTAATAGCCCTTTCTGTTTCTGCCGGGGAAAGCAAAATTAAGGCTGCACAAGCTCCTCAGTGAGCAGCACAATGAGCATGTCATTCCAAATCTATCTACTTTTAAATCTATGACAGAACAGAATATTATGTTGGATGGCTTTTGCCATAGCTGTGTCAGGCAGACATAACCTCCACCTCCCTTCCTTCCGGTCCTTCTATTCTATGGTTCTATGGATGGTTACTGCACTGTGTGCACAGACTATGAGTAGATTATACTGCTATATTACCGTAGCAGCATGCTACACCAAGGAAGCACACTGCTGATGATCACGTGTAGACACATGTAATCGCAACACTGCTGTAGTGCGCCATACGGTGATGTAGCACGATGCTATGTCGCCATAGGGTGATGTGTAGATGCGCCCTTTGTTATCTACTTTTATGAGCCAATGTCTAGAACTGTAAAGACCCCATCACTGGTTTCCATCTCTGCCCTTAAGAAAAGTTACTTTCTCTTAGAGAAAAGAGAAGGAATATGTATTCATCTTTTGCTGTGGTAATGCTGCTTAGACACCCCCATAAGTTCTGTTACTGCATATTTCCAAACATTCTTCTATCACAGGGATTTTATAAAAGTATCTATAGTTGACATTGCAAATTTAACAGACTTGAATTTCAAATTCAGATCAGAAAAATATAGAAAAATGAGACTTGTTTTCTTGGCTTGTTTTCAAGAGCACTAACCAAAAAAATTCTTCTCAAACCAAGACTTTGAAAGATACAATGCAAGATTAAATTTTAACATTAACTTTTCTGTTTATATCAGAGGGAAGTTCATATTGACTATATAAAGTCTGATTCTGTATGACCGGTCTGGTCCCTTAATAAAACACCTGTTTTGAAAAATTATTTTATAAGATTGTCACTATAATCAACAGGGCCACTCCCAACTGCACTCAGAATTTATTTTGTGACCCAAACACATTTTTTACTATTTCTGTTATCAGTGCAGAATCAGTACAGATCTGAAAGACAAACTGGGTTCTATTTACATCCTAATCATGATTTCCAACTGGAGAAATTGCTGAATCTTTCATTGTTAGCTGTGCAGGAAGGCTCTACTTTGATTTTAACAATCCAGACAACGTAGGCATGTCTGTTAGAAATAAAACTTCTTTTACTTGTAAAAGGAGTGGAAGTCACTGAAAGACAAAAAACATAGAACCCTACAAAGCCTGTTTCAAAGTAGAACTGCTCTATAATATTTCCCTAAATATATCTTAGAGGAGAGAGTTAACACAGGCTATACCATCTGGAATATGTAATGACAAGTTTCAGAGAATAAGTTTTTGGGCTGTCTGACAGTTCTTATTAGGCCAGGGCTTTTCTTTTTCACTTTTGAAATTCCTTCTTTCTACTAAATCAAAAAGAGTGCTTTGGAAATAAAAACAATGGTTTGTCACCCACCCTGAATAATTTCAGGTTGTGCAGTAGCCTACTCCTTGGGCATGGATTTCACAATTCAGGTTTTGAGTTGCTGCTACAGGAGATTACCTGATTCAGAATGTCAGATGCTCCATAATATATGCATACATTTGTACCCAAATTCCAATCTTTAGCATCTATTTACTGCTCAGTTGTATATATTTTCTCCCTTTTCTGAAAAAGGATTTTTTATATTCCAACACTTGCCTGTTAATGCCATTAGGTTAATGCATTGCATGTAAAAAAACCTGCATGAAACTCATCTGTTCTATTTTTGTTTTATGCACTAATAAAAGTGTCATCAGCTAGAACATAACACAGTGGCAAGTATACAGATCTGTATTTCAAGACAGTTTTCTTTCAACTCTGTGATCAACTACTAAATCCTTATTCTATAATAAGGAACAGGAGGAAGAGGCAGAGGAGGAGGAGGAGGAGGAAGAGGAGGAAGAAGAATCTTAGTACTTTTTTACAACCCATTGTTCTTGAAAAAGTTTTTCAGGTAATTATTAAGGCAGCTGGCAATTTTGAAGTTGTTAAGAAACATCATCAACTTAGAAAAAAAACGAGATTTTGTTTGAACCTTTTTAGCTATGTTTTTGTTACAAGCAACACCTAAGATGCTAGAATTGCAAGAAATTACAGAAAAAGACTGTTTTCCCCAGGTTGTTTACTTCATCTATTTGACAACATTGTATATACAATCAGATGGTTTTCCCTGTGGTCTGTAGGTCTTTCAGACAGCTAAGAAGTATGAGAAAAAGGTATATATTTTAAAGGGAAAGGTGATTGTTAAACTGCAAAAACAGTTGGGGGTCTTAGGGCAGGTGTAGTACCTGAAACTTTGAACTTAGAACTCTGTTTTTATGGTAGATTTTAAAGTAACAGTACACTTGTAAATCAAACATATAGTAGGTTTTATATATATTTTTGTATGGGAGCAGGGTATTTATCTAAGCATCAGTTCTTCCACGAATGCTTCCTCTGTACATAAAGAAACTATAAAAGGGCCATGTGGGGCTTCCATACTTACTATTTTTGAGATAAATGTTTTCCTTTTTACTATTCGTTAGGGCATCAGCAGTTTATTGCTGTCATCATAGGGGTCTTGTAACCATAACTCCTGTTTCTGCTTTGTCCTTTGTTGCCCCAGGAAATCAGTTGTAGTGCGCCTAGTGGTCTCCCTCCAACTGTTGAGGGAGGCTTGTAATTCTAAGTGGGACTAGGGCCACTGTCATAGCTCAACAGATAGGCCTAACTGGAAGGGCACAAGGGTGACAGAAAGTGTAGACATATGTACATTTGGAATAATTTCAAAAGGGGAACTGTTTAAAAGAGCAGCAGAGGCGATGTAATTGTTATGTATGAACAAGCAGAGGAGGATTCAAATGCAGCAAAACTTTAACCTGAATGCATCAACATGGACTCGATGATCTTCCGAGGTCCCTTCCAGCCCTAATGTCTAACGTCTATGAAAACACTGAGTTGGAGAGGTTCTGTTGCATTTGAAACCTTCTCGGCTCATTCAAACATAACAATTAGAATATAACAGCTTTTGAGTAATTTCCCCCTCGAAGCTGCTCCAAATGAATGTGTATTAAAAGAGAGATTTCTTGACATGGCCAATCTCAGTTAGGAACAAGGAAGTTAGAATTTCAAGCAGATTTTCCTCTGAGAGGATAGGGGTCTACTTCTCCGAAGTAAAGGCAGAACTTGACTCTGAACTTGTGTTGAAGTTAACAGAACCACAGCTTCTTCAGCGTCAGGGATTACAGTTTTGGATCTCAGCAGAATCAGTGGTCCTAGTATGTAGGCCCAATGCCTCCGTACAGATTGGCAGACCTGCCTTCTTTCCTCCACCTGCATTCCAGTTTGGGTTCCTCTCCTGCTTGGGTTTGAAAACAGCTTAAAATTGTTTACCACTTTGGTGTGTGACGTTCTGCAGAAGTGCTAATGCTAATGATTTCCTTTTTCTCTCTTCAGGAAGCATATGCCTATGCAGCAGCACCACAGAAATTAAAACTGTCACCTCCCTCTCAAACCACCACTTCGTTCATACCTACATAGGTACGGACATATAAATATGTATCACCCCACAAGACACCACTCTGCCCTAGATATGATCTTTATATATATATTTGGTATTCTAGTCTTGTGTTGAAGTGGGTCTTTTTAATTCTGGCTGATGAGATCTCAGACCGGGCTTTATGTGTTCCAACAGTACTGTCTATGTCTAAGTTTAGATTGTAAGCTCCTTGGGGCAGGGATGTGTCTTTCCACATGTTTGTACATTGCTGAGCACATTGTTAGTTCTCAGCCAACATCAGTAGTCATGCACCAAAATCATATTTGGAGGTAAAGAACTACAGCACTGAAGACTCCAAAGAAACTCCCTGTAGACAACTACATGTTGTCTGGCCTTTGCAACTGAATGTGATTTACACTGTACAGCAGTTTAAATAAACATATTTTATGTCAGACCTTTTCTTTCTGCAGGGAAGCATTCATTTAGGCATAATAAATTATTGTCTGTATACAGTTAAGTTGCCATTCTAATTCTGTTTGTAGTCAACCTGGGGCTAAATTCACAAATGGGACTTAAATGACCAAGTCCCACAGACTCCTTAGTTCAACATTTACTTACCAGTCACATTCGTAAAACCCTTCCCACCAGCATGTAAGTGCCTATATTCCCTTGGCACCTAAATTTCTGTTGTTATCCGTGCATGCACCTGCCTAAGTCATGAAAGCACTAGAAGTCATAGACAAGCAGGTCTGGAAAGGACCTCCACAGGTCATCAGTCCAGCCCCTGCCTGAGGTAGGATCTTACCTGTCCAAAACTTCCTATGTAAATCCATAATCTAACTTCCCTGTAAAGTTATCATCAGCTCTGACACAACACAAGACATAACACCTTAACCTGCCATGGGTAAAGCAAGGGAATCGTAGCAGTCAACATTCTGCTTCTGTAAAATGTTAATATAAGCTCAAGAGAGCTTAGGCAGAGAGCCATGCCCCTCCACTACAAAGGAAGGCAAAACCCCCACCCTCATCAGCCATGGGATAAAATCCCCTCCTGACCCCATATATGGCCATCAGTCTGACTCAGTCATTTGGTGCATGGATTCTAGCTGATCAGTATGGATTTACCTCAGCCCCTGAACAACACAGCAATTGATTCAACTAGCTCCTGCTATAACCTTTTGGAGTAGGGGTGTCAAACTCACCCCATGTCCCTGGTCAGATCTGGATCACGGGGCTTCCTGGTGGGCCAGATCTGCAGGGCAAGCAGTGGCAGCAGTAGCAGTGGAGGCTATGGTGGGGCAAGTGCAAGCTGCAGCAGGGTCAATGGCAGCTTTGGTAGGGTTGATGGCAGAGTTAGGGGAGTAATTTGCCGTGGGCTAACCACTGGCTTGCTATGGTAGAGGCAGGGCAACCAGCTGCAAGGTGAACAGGGCTGTGTTAGCACACTCCTTGCTCGCCCTCCAGCTACCAAAGGCCATGTCTAATGGGGCCCTGGGCCCCCAGATTCTGTGACAGGCCCCACCGCTAGCCACACTCCCAAATTCCCTGGGCCCCAGTATCCCAGGATGGAGAGGCTCTGCAGGACTGTGGGCTGTATGTTTTGACAACCCTGTCCTAGAAGCTTAGCTTCCCACTGAACCACAGGCTGTAATGCTATTTAATAAAAACACTTATATTCATTTTAAAACAATGAGTTTACTTTTCAAAGTCTTTACAAAAATCCTTCCTGCCATTATTAAGAAGAGATTAATCCAGCCTAGATAAGTCATCCTTGTGCAGGGAGCCAGCCCAAAGCCTATATATTATTGGTACTTTGTTCTTGAGAACATCAGTTGAGCAATAATCCTTCTGTTGGCCCCTTGATAACGAAAGGGCCGAACTGCATCCCATGTAAATGGAGCCTTTTCCGCCCCTTATCATGCATATAGCTTTTTTTTTAAAACAAGGTTTAAAATTTAAAATGTAAAATGATAGGTAAAATCTTAAGGTTATATTAGTCTTAAGGTTATATCTGACAAGGTTCTTTGGGTAGACCAACACGGCTGCAACCAAATACCCAGCAACATTAAGGTTATATCAGAAGCTATATCAGATTCTGTTCTCACACCGAATGTGCAAACAGACAAACAAATTATATCATATTCAAAAAGAGGTGAGAGTCTCTACTACACATCAGTGGTCCAAGGTAATTATTTTGCATGCCCACATCTATCCCTTGGCAGGCAAGGGATAAATTGGGACAACTGACCCTTGAATAAAACAGGTTAAGTTACAGTGCTTTAGTTTCCACTTACTCCAAGAGAAAAAATGGATACACAAAACAGTTACTGCAAAACAACTGACATAAACATTTCCTTTCTCCCTTTTAACCTGGTATAATTGATTCATCTGCCCATACCCAAATTGCACATTAGTGGTGTCCATTGATTTCAGTGAACTTACCCCTGGTTTACAGCAGTTTGAATGTGAGGAGAATCCAGCCTCTTCTTTCCAATAGGAATTTGCTTCAGTTACAGCTATTGGCGACCACCCACCAGCCACTGCACATCCCTGTTGTAGATCTTATAAAAGCAGGGGAAATTAGAGGGGTATAAATAACAGTTTATATTGGCTTGATCTCTCTACAGTAAGGGCTTGGATTGGTGTGGTTACAATGGTATGTAGACAACTGGGAAATATCTTATTATTTTGTTTTAATATTGTGCATTCCTCTGTGTTGGTTTTAGATGGGCTGGTTGCTATGGCATTAGCTCACTAGGGGTTGTTAGAGAAAGCAAGCTAAAATAATGGCCAAGATAACAAATGATAGTGCAGCTTATAGCTGTGAAGAGGAACTCCTCCTCTCCCCTTCCCCCAACATTGGCAACAGGGCTGTTTGCCAAAGCTGAGATTGAGTATATCCAAAAAACACAGCTTTGTTAAAGATCTGCCCTGCAGGAAGGAAAACGGCAAAGCTTTTAGCTGTGGCAGACTGACACAGGCAGAGACGGAGAGCAGAGGCCTGGTTCCCCAGAGGAACAGGGTCACCCAGGCTAACTCATGTCTTCTCAGGGCTGGAGGAGAATACCAAGTGTCGGTAAGACAGTGTGTGCGCCAGTCTCGTTGTTGCTTTATATCCACTCTCTAAGCACTGTTTGCCATTGGGCAAAATAAATCATACTCAGCTTTGAAGAAGTGTTCCTGTGACTTTGCATACTGTTACCATCCTGTGGATCCCAAACAGAACTGTGTAAAGGGGCCAAACCTCTCAGAACCGGGAGGTACCATGGCTGATCACCTGGAGACCCAGTAGGCGAATGACTATCTCACCCCCGAATGAAGGAGAGAAGGAGAAGCAGAAGTCTGGTCACTTGAAGTGCATTTTAGGGACTGAAAAGGGTCTCAGAAGGAACAGCCTGCTCAGGGACTGTGATTAATACATAGGTGCACTGCTGGCAGCAAGTGGGACAAATGCTCAGTGTAGATGTGACTTAAGCAAACAGGCTGGTTTTAAAAATGTGGAGCCCAAATGCAGCCATTTGGGACGTCACAGTTTACTGGGTTTTTTAGTTGTTTACAGCTATCTTATTTTGTAATATGGTTTGATATAGAACTGTCTGCTTATCTTGGGTCTGGAATACATCCATTTCTTCTAATATTGCTTTTTCTTTGACGTACACAGTGTTTGACTGTAAGAGCCATTGATTTCACTGAATTTGAAACAAAGCTCTTTATTCCTGTGACTGTGTTTTCCTTTATTTTTACTGAATGGGGAAGGCGATCTGTAGTTAATAGAATATTCTGGTGAGTTGCATTTTTTTTTTGCTGTTAGGAAATGAGGAGTATAAAATCCACGACAGAATTCTGTTTTACTTTTAACTATTTTTCATATGTAGGTATGTAAAACATTTTCCCTCATGAGTTACATCAAGGGTTTCTTCTAATAACATTTCAGGGGGAATTCAGTAAAGACTTTTAGACTTTAAAAGCAGATTCCTTGGTCCAGGCATCTAGCAATCTTACCTTTTTGGTCAGCTTATAGTCATTCTATATGAATTTTTTCTCAACCTTTCTTGAGGTGAAAAAAATGTAGTCCTCTCGATTAACCATAAAAGTATTAATGGTAGAAATGGTAAGTTAATTTAATATGCTTGTTTTGAGAGGTTCAGAAGACTATAGATATAAATTGCAACTGGGTGGTGAAACATAAAATTAAGAATAACATGTCCTTAATTAGGAAACTTGAAAATCTAGGGACTTAATTGAAATATAAAGAGAAAGTGAATGCTTATTGTTTCTTTAGTTATAGTATCAAGAATACTTACTTAGTGTCATGATAATCACATTGAAGAAAAAGTGATTTCTATAAAAAATGTTGCACATTAAAAAAATAAAACTTAGCAAATTAAGGCTCAAAGCATATCTAATTTGTCTGTGTCTTTGAAGCACGTAAGTGAAATGACTTGTTTCACTTTACAGCAAGGATCTTTACAGCAAGGATACATCAGTGTAAGTTAGACTCCCTGCTTTAAACCACTTAAGCTGTTCTCTTGTTTATTTGCTCAACATTCAAAGACTGTTTTTTCCTTAGGCATTCCAAGAATAAAACCCAACCTCCACAATTTCATCCTGACATTACATATTCTCTGTCCAGTGACAGAAGGCAAAACAAAGGATGAGGCTTTTATCACAATGTTTGACCCTAATATGGACATTTTGACCCTGCACAAAGCAGTTAATTTCTTTAAGTATGTCCTTATTGTGTCATATGTCTATGCCGCCCCGTGCCCTACTCACCTGCTCCTAATCCACATGCATGAGTCCTGGAAACTGCCCTGGGAGTGCCCCACACTACTTCTCTTGAGCAACTTGGAAGCCCAGGTCTTGAGTGCAGTGCTAGGTATGTTCCTCAGGGCATCCTTGTAATCTCATTTTTGGGGCTGATGTGTGAACTGGGAGCTGGTGGGTTGGGTATATTTTGGAAAGACCATGGTTTAACAATTTGCTGCTGTGGAGTAGACAGAGACTTTGTGCCTTATTTTCCCTTCCTGTCCAATGAGAATAATACTTGTAGGCCTTTTAGCCACCCTTGAGACATCTGTCTCTGGTGTACCAGATAATATGCTATACGTATAGCTCTAAAGCTCCAACAATATCCCCCTCCTCTTGGGGTAATTACCTTGCTCACCAGTCAACAGCAAAATTGCATCTTTCTTTACAGATTTTTTTGATTAGGTGTAACCTTCTGAATAATGCCTTTCATATATGCAAAAATTTAATTTTTCCTTTTTAGTTTCTCAACATGTTAGCATATCTCTACGGTCTGAGTCTTTCTGCTTACTTCATGTCTCGATACTTGATAAGCATGAAAATATTCTTCTGAAAACTAGCTTGTAAAATAAACAAATGACTGGCAGAAGTTAATTCCCCTGCCCTTTGTATTGTTAATTGGCCTACATTAATTCAGATGGTGCATGCAAGCTTCTTTAGGGTGTTATTAAAAACAGCTCATGGTCCCCAAGACTCAATCCTACAATGATGTACATATATAAATGTATACGGGATCAGGCTCATCATTTTAGGATTAAGGTATTTGGAATCAGGGAACTGCTTATATCCAATAAGTAAAACATCCATACAGCACCCTTTTAGCTCTGGTTCTGAGTTTTTATTCTTGAAGAATTCTGAACTCACTACTAAGCCTTTCCCAAATACCTCTGGAATCCAGTAATTATGGAACGAGAGTTATCTTACCCCCGTCTCTCTGCTATATAGTCTTTAATATATTTTTCTAGGACAACAACACTGTACCCTGCTTTGGATATATCCTTATGATTTGGGTCCAGATTTGGGTCCATCATGGGTATCTTTAGAGGCTCTTGGGAAAGGTGAACCTGTTCACGGTAAAC